TCGGTCAAGTGTTTTCATGTTCTAACTCTGCTAAATGGTGGACAATGTATTGTAGCTAATTAGTGAAATTAGCATGTTTATAAATCACTAGAATGCTCTCACAAAAAGCTTGTCTCGAAATCATGGCCTGTTCAAACTTCGAAATCATGGGTTAATGTTAGAAAGATGACTGTTGCCTTTGGGTAAAGAATTCTTATATTGTCGAAATCTCATGCATGTTGAAGCGGAATGTGAGTAATATAGGCAACCAAAAATGATGCCTAGCATTGAAAATATTTTCCGCCTACATGTGGGCTATAATGCGACAATAGGATAGAAGGCCCTGCCCAGAATGGCCTCGAGATAATAATATTGGTTTTTTTTACATGAATTTGGATTTGGATTTGCATAGCATAAGAATGGTAGTGGGGGAGAAGTTTGGGCACAAAATGTTTGTTTTGCCTTAGAGGTTAAGCACAACTCTACTTGTCACAGGCCGGGCAAGTGCATTAAAACCGGTGTGGTTGTCTGCAACAGAGATACCATTATAGTATTGAAAATTACGCTAGCATACACCATCAGATTTATGATAAAAAAAATAAAAAATAAAATACACCATCAGATTTTGTCACCATCTGACGTTGCCAGCGATTGCGTAATCACTATGTCACCAACAATAAAAATCATGAACAAAAATAATGCCATTTTGTTTCATTTCTTCCTGTGTTGCTCTGCCCTCCCAATCCCCAACACATGCACACTACCACCCATCAGTCTCCCCACAACCACGCCCCTTTCTCTCTTTGCTCTCCCTAATAGCTTTGATCAAAGAATCCACATTGTCCACCACTCTCTTCCTTGATCCCCCGACTTTAACAGTACTTGCCCACATGCACACAAACGTCTCTCTCTCTCTACCTGCTCAAACATGTTAGGTCTTGGACTAGATACTGGCAATCACATGACTTGTACTTTAATTATTGGCAAGGTTGACTAGAAGACATCATTTGGCAGAGCTATCGACAAGCCTCAAGAGAATTAAGAGCAATCATGAATCATAAAATGAAAGATGAAGAGGCGTAAAACGATTGCACATGAATCAATGGTTGACGAAATCACGTGGTAAAGGAACATGAAAAGAGTTCAAGCAAATCTACAGACTGAACAAACGATCAGTAGAATAAATTGACCTAATTTGAATCATACACCTAAGTATAACTGGTCAAATTATAATATTATTCGATTATGTCCGAGGTTGAACCCATAAGAAGGCTATCTAATGGAATTCAAAAATATAAGAGGTAAGATTGTTGTGCACATAGTGTGCTTTACAATTGCTTGTGGTGTAAACTTACAATTGTCAAATAAATACTTAGGCTAAACTTTTGATTACAATAATTGAAAAATTACTCTTTAGTTTGGGGATCCAACATGCATTTTGTTGCTTGATTATGAAAATGCCACCTTACATCAATTAACTTCCATATTATTGGAAAGTCAATTGGTATGTTTGATGTATAAACTGAACCATATCACAACAACTGATTAGGTTAGCTGGAAGATTTATGCATCGTATAATAACCAAATAACCCTAGTAAACCTGAAGGTGAACAATTCAAATGTTTACTTTAGCTATTCGATCGACAGGTTGATGATTTAATGAAGACGGAGTTTTAATTTATGCATTGAACCAAAAGTATTAGCTATGATGAGATTTAACCCGTATATAACTAATATCTCGATTATTACATAAAACGCAACTATTTGAATCATTGTATAATGCATGAAGTACGTAATAACATAAAAATGAACTGGTATAGAGTAATAAGTTTAACTCGGTATTCGTAATCATGAGCATATAGTAATATGACACCGGACGAAAATAATAATAACCATAAAGGAGGTATAAACATTAAAGCATAGGTAAAATATCGACATTTCCATAACACAACAAATATTACACTTGTTTTCACNGTATTGAACCAAAAGTATTAGCTATGATGAGATTTAACCCGTATATAACTAATATCTCGATTATTACATAAAACGCAACTATGTGAATCATTGTATCATGCATGAAGTACGTAATAACATAAAAATGAACTGGTATAGAGTAATAAGTTTAACTCGGTATTCGTAATCATGAGCATATAGTAATATGACACCGGACGAAAATAATAATAACCATAAAGGAGGTATAAACATTAAAGCATAGGTAAAATATCGACATTTCCATAACACAACAAATATTACACTTGTTTTCACCATTTACTAAAGAGTATAAATAGACTACTCACACTTCGTTGCTATAGACAATCAAGAAGAGTGAGATAATCTCATTACAACGTAATACAAATACAAAAATCAATGCAAAAGATCCTTTCCCAAGGAATAGTTGAAACACCCTCACTCTTATTACTAGCTAGACCACACAAGTGAGANTGATCAAAGAATCCACATTGTCCACCACTCTCTTCCTTGATCCCCCGACTTTAACAGTACTTGCCCACATGCACACAAACGTCTCTCTCTCTCTACCTGCTCAAACATGTTAGGTCTTGGACTAGATACTGGCAATCACATGACTTGTACTTTAATTATTGGCAAGGTTGACTAGAAGACATCATTTGGCAGAGCTATCGACAAGCCTCAAGAGAATTAAGAGCAATCATGAATCATAAAATGAAAGATGAAGAGGCGTAAAACGATTGCACATGAATCAATGGTTGACGAAATCACGTGGTAAAGGAACATGAAAAGAGTTCAAGCAAATCTACAGACTGAACAAACGATCAGTAGAATAAATTGACCTAATTTGAATCATACACCTAAGTATAACTGGTCAAATTATAATATTATTCGATTATGTCCGAGGTTGAACCCATAAGAAGGCTATCTAATGGAATTCAAAAATATAAGAGGTAAGATTGTTGTGCACATAGTGTGCTTTACAATTGCTTGTGGTGTAAACTTACAATTGTCAAATAAATACTTAGGCTAAACTTTTGATTACAATAATTGAAAAATTACTCTTTAGTTTGGGGATCCAACATGCATTTTGTTGCTTGATTATGAAAATGCCACCTTACATCAATTAACTTCCATATTATTGGAAAGTCAATTGGTATGTTTGATGTATAAACTGAACCATATCACAACAACTGATTAGGTTAGCTGGAAGATTTATGCATCGTATAATAACCAAATAACCCTAGTAAACCTGAAGGTGAACAATTCAAATGTTTACTTTAGCTATTCGATCGACAGGTTGATGATTTAATGAAGACGGAGTTTTAATTTATGCATTGAACCAAAAGTATTAGCTATGATGAGATTTAACCCGTATATAACTAATATCTCGATTATTACATAAAACGCAACTATTTGAATCATTGTATAATGCATGAAGTACGTAATAACATAAAAATGAACTGGTATAGAGTAATAAGTTTAACTCGGTATTCGTAATCATGAGCATATAGTAATATGACACCGGACGAAAATAATAATAACCATAAAGGAGGTATAAGCATTAAAGCATAGGTAAAATATCGACATTTCCATAACACAACAAATATTACACTTGTTTTCACCATTTACTAAAGAGTATAAATAGACTACTCACACTTCGTTGCTATAGACAATCAAGAAGAGTGAGATAATCTCATTACAACGTAATACAAATACAAAAATCAATGCAAAAGATCCTTTCCCAAGGAATAGTTGAAACACCCTCACTCTTATTACTAGCTAGACCACACAAGTGAGAGATGTTTAACCCTCCAAGTAAAAAAGATGTAAAAAAAATGTAGAAGAGGAGAAATTCTGGCTTAGGAGTGTTTAGGGCAAGGTTCCTTTTTCTCTGGCTCAAGTTTTCTTCTTTAGCAAAATCTGTGGAAAAAAATGGCTGAACTAGAAGGTCAATGTTAGGAACACAAAGAATAAACCTCAATATAAGCATGGCTGCTACTACAAAAGATTGAGGCGGATTCTATCATTGTTGCGGTCATTTCCCAACTTAATGTGGCTACTACTACAAAAGATTGGTTGATAGACTCTAGGGCTAGCAAACAAATATATGGCATTAGAAGTGTTTTTACCTCCTACACACCTTTGGGATATGAGAGGAACAAGTGTTTATGGGTGATACTAGACCTTCACCTATTATGGGTAAGGGTAAAGTAACATTGACGTCGAAAAATATCCTCTCATTATCTAATGTGCTCCACATGCTTAATATTCGTTGGGAGTTGGTGTCGATATTAGTCTATAATAAGGTGAGAGTGAAAGTAACCTTNTAGAAAAATATCCTCTCATTATCTAATGTGCTCCACATGCTTAATATCCGTTGGGAGTTGGTGTCGATATTAGTCTATAATAAGGTGAGAGTGAAAGTAACCTTTGAGAGTCATAAGATCATAATGACCAAGAATAGAATATTTATTGGGAAAGGTTACTATTTTTAAAAAAAAAAAAAGAGAAATGCCATAAATGAAAGGACATGAATACAAGAAGCAAATAAACAANTTTTTTAAAAAAAAAAAGAGAAATGCCATAAATGAAAGGACATGAATACAAGAAGCAAATAAACAAAGAAAAAACTAAACTAAAAAACAGGGGGCCAAAATGGCTACAGACCAATAAGAAAGCCAGTAGAGGCATAAACAAAAACCAAGCTGGGAATAGGAGCCAGCTGGGAGGCAAAAAGCTGCACAAAGCCAGTTGAACCACCAAGGATAACATTAAAACCAGTNTTCACTATTCCAAAATCAGCTTACAAGTACTTGAATCTTATACTTCAATCAATATCATGATTAGTTGCCCCTTTTCTTCAATAAGCCTTTCCACTGAAGGGCCTCCTTAGACATCTTGGATAGCTTCGCTTGGATTCACCTCTGTGAGGATCCTCTAGGCCTTGAGTAATCTTAGGCATACCAACAATCCTCCAAATGCACACACCAATGGGTTTGGTCTTCAAGTAATTAAGATCTTCAACACTAAATTGTGAAATNGTTGAAGGCATGAACTGGAAGAGAGCAGCAAAGGCCAGCAGCAAAGAAATGGAACAAACTGAAAGCCAGAGGGAACCAGTTGAGCAACAGCAAAGGGCCAAAAAGAAAACCGCTGGGGGACAAATGAACCAAAAGCCACAGCACCACCAGCTGAAAACCAGAAGGGAAGAAATCCCAAGGGCAGCAGCAAAGAGGGGCAGGAGAAGGGACCCAACAGTCATCCAGCTAATAGATAGGTGAAGACAAGGCAACTGGCAGAAAGCAGCCTCAAAATGAAGCAGGAAAACCAGGGGCGCCCAGCTGAAGTAGAAACCAACAGGCGCAGGCAGCAGCAACCTCAAGCAAAAAGGCAGAAAAGATGCCCCAAAGGAGAGCGGCCCAAAGCAGAAACAACCAGCTGAAACAGACACTAGCAGAAAGCAACAGCAGGGAACAGAAAAACCAGAGCCTCAACAAGAGAACAGCAAAGCAGTAACAAAGGGAGCCAAAGATGGCTTTAATCCTTCAAGACAAGGATCCAAAGGAAAAAACCAACAGGTAGCTGGAGGCCAGCTGGAGAGCATTAAAACTAGCAGGAAGATCAGCCGGAACCAGCTGAACAACACCAATGGGCAAGAAAGAGAACCAACCCAAAATGTCAACCAATCCCTTGCCTCTGGGCACACACCACCATCCTCTTCAACCTTACATTAGGTAAACCATAATGATCTTGATGTAAAAGCAATTTGTCTTTTAATGGTAACTCCTCATCAGCAGCAATGTCAATCCTCCCTCCAGCTTGCATAGCGATAGTAGCCAGGAAGTCATCAACTTTATTTGTTTCCCTATATACATGTTTCACTTGAAAACTCAGCCCTCCAAGCAAGGGAAAGGTTACTATAATAAGGGTCTTTATATATAAATGTTGTTGAAGTTATGAATGAGAATACATTTGGCTCTTTTGCTTATCTGATTGACTCTCTTGATATGTGGCATGGTAGAATAGGTCGAATGAAATTTTCTTATATCAAGAAATTGAGAGAATTAGATTTTATCTCAAAATTTTTGGATTCAAATGTTGATAAATGTGGAGTTTATGCCAAATCTAAAATTACGAAAAAGACTTCTAAGAACGGTTGAAAGAGAAACTAAGTTATTAGGCTTAATGCATAGTGATTTAGGTGACCTTAAGAATACTCTGACAAGAGGTGAAAAAATATATTACATTACTTTTATTGATGATTTATATCAAATTATCCTTGCTTAAAAATAATGATGAAGCCAACGAAATGTTTATCAAGTATAAACTAAAAGTGGAAAATCAATTGAACGGGAAAATAAAGAGTTGAGAACCAATGGGGGGAGGGGGGGGGGCATAATATTAATCTAATCTTTTTAATGACTATTGTGAACAACTTGATGTTATACATGAAGATACCCCTTCATACTCACCCAAATCTAATGGTGTAGTCAAAAGAAAAATAGGACTTTAAAGGAAATGATGAATTTTATGCAAATAAGTTTAGGATTGCCAGATAATTTATGGGGAGATGCTACTTTATCGGCATGTCATATTCAAAATAAAATTTCACCAAAACAATGGAACGAGAAATTTGATAGTGTGCTAGTGTCAAATGAATTTAAAATAATTGATGCTCATAAATGCATATATGGTAAATTTTGTTGTTCTTATTTGCTTGTATGTTGATGATAGGTTAATAATGAGTGCAATTCTAGACGTTATTATTACTACTAAGAGGTTCTTGATGTCCACGTTTTATGTGAAAGATATGAAAGAGGCTGATGTAATTTTGGGAATTAAGATTTTGAGAACTCCGAATGATTTGATGTTGTAACAAGAACATTATGCAAATAAGATACTCATAAAGTTTAATCATTTTGATCATAAGCCTATTTCTACACCTTATGATGCTAGTGTTATACTAAAGAAAAATAAAGGTGATCCCATGTGTCAAAATTATTATGCAGAAATAATTGAAAGTTTAATGTATCTTATGAATTGTGCAATTCTTGACATTACGTATGCGATTGGTAGGTTAAGTACATATACAAATAACCCCAATAAAAAACATTTGAATGTTATATCTAGATTGTTGAAATACTTGAAGGGACTATTAATTATTTTCATTCCGAGAGAGGGAGATATACGTGGATCTTCTTTTACGATTACATACTTGGAGCACACGACAAGACATAGAGGGGAGTGAATCGGTTTTCAAACTTTATGCTTAAACAATTACATTTCAAAACCTATTACTACCACATTTACTTCTTCTCACAATGATTTAACAATTAATGGTGAGAACTCTTTTTCAACCACCATGAACCCATGTAGATTGATGCTGTTAATTTTATCGATTAAACACTCAAAGACACAATCTCACATAGGAAACCCAACCCCCAAAGACCCAAACCCAACTACACAACTATGGATGACATAGATATCAATCAGTCATTCATACAAACACATAATGCGAGTGGTGCTCAAATTACAAGTGTATAAAAAAAAAACAAATATTAACACCTGCAATTTTGTTGACGCGAAAACCCTCTTGAGAAAAAACTGTTGGGAACCGCTACCAATTCACCAAAACCTAATCCACTATTCCAAATTCAGCTTACAAGTACTTGAATCTTATACTTCAATCAATATCATGATTAATTGCCCCTTTTCTTCAATAAGCCTTTCCACTGAAGGGCCTCCTTAGACATCTTGGATAGCTTCGCTTGGATTCACCTCTGTGAGGATCCTCTAGGCCTTGAGTAATCTTAGGCATACCAACAATCCTCCAAATGCACACACCAATGGGTTTGGTCTTCAAGTAATTAAGATCTTCAACACTAAATTGTGAAATTGGGTAGAATCTCTAGATGGTAGCCTTTGATTTTGGGATTTGGGATTTGGGATTGTGGTGTAATCTCTAAGGTGTAAGAGGCAAGAATTCAACTCACAAAAGAGATACCCTAACTTGGGAAAGACACTCCCTATTATAGGCTCAAACAAAAAAAAAAAAAAGCAATCCTAGTCAACAACAAACCTCAAATTTGTGAACGATCGTTCGATCGGTGGGAGGGCAGTCATAGGACAGTGGTCACTACAATGAAAAACTTGTTTCAAACCGGCCTAGGAGAGTAAACCGCTCGAGTGGCCCCAGAGTTTGTGACCTCCTCTATTTGGTTTTTTCTCGTTTTCTTTTCTAAGTCATAATCGCTCCAACGAAAGCTAACAAGTATAGGGAGGTCCATACCGATCATTAAAAGAGAGAGTTTTAGGTGGAGCATAAAGCTAAGAACATGATGGATATTATAATGCTTAATCCCGAATTACTAGCTTGTGAATTGTTACATTGATTATTTCACAATTATTCCAAAGAGTTGAAATGAAAAAGCAGATCAGTAAACAGCAAAATAAATCAAATGTTTTCAATGGAGGTGTGTGCTAGCAAACACTTTTGTTAAGCAACATGTGTACATCGAGGTCATCGATTTTATAAATATCAGTTTTAGGGCATACAATGACTGGTCGATTACAAATATTATTATAAGTATATAATCGAAAATCAATTTCTAACATGTTGTGTTAAATCTTATATTTGATGTTAAATAATTATATATATGATTTTATGATATAATTACATATGTGAATTACAAGTCAAAATAGTTCACATTCAACGCATGTGTGCATCAACTAAATATTTTTGTAATCTACAATGGCAACATGGTTGATGTGCCCAAGTGATTCTTTGGTTTATACAATGACTAAAATCGACCAGATCGTTTGAAGTTTGNGAGCAGCCGGCTGGAGAGCATTAAAACTAGCAGGAAGATCAGCTGGATCCAGCTGAACAGCACCAATGGGCAAGAAAGAGAACCAACCTAAAACGTCAACCAATCCCTTGCCTCTGGGCACACACCACCATCCTCTTCAACCTTACATTAGGTAAACCATAATGATCTTGATGTAAAAGCAATTTGTCTTTTAATGGTAACTCCTCATCAGCAGCAATGTCAATCCTCCCTCCAGCTTGCACAGCGATAGTAGCCAGGAAGTCAGCAACTTTATTTGTTTCCCTATATACATGTTTCACTTGAAAACTCAGCCCTCTAAGCAAGGGAAAGGTTACTATAATAAGGGTCTTTATATATAAATGTTGTTGAAGTTATGAATGAGAATACATTTGGCTCTTTTGCTTATCTGATTGACTCTCTTGATATGTGGCATGGTAGAATAGGTCGAATGAAATTTTCTTTTANTACATATACAAATAACCCCAATAAAAAACATTTGAATGTTATATCTAGATTGTTGAAATACTTGAAGGGACTATTAATTATTTTCATTCCGAGAGAGGGAGATATACGTGGATCTTCTTTTACGATTACATACTTGGAGCACACGACAAGACATAGAGGGGAGTGAATCGGTTTTCAAACTTTATGCTTAAACAATTACATTTCAAAACCTATTANAGGCTTAATGCATAGTGATTTAGGTGACCATAAGAATACTCTGACAAGAGGTGAAAAAATATATTACATTACTTTTATTGATGATTTATATCAAATTATCCTTGCTTCAAAATAATGATGAAGCCAACGAAATGTTTATCAAGTATAAACTAAAAGTGGAAAATCAATTGAACGGGAAAATAAAGAGTTGAGAACCAATGGGGGGAGGGGGGGGGGCATAATATTAATCTAATCTTTTTAATGACTATTGTGAACAACTTGATGTTATACATGAAGATACCCCTTCATACTCACCCAAATCTAATGGTGTAGTCAAAAGAAAAATAGGACTTTAAAGGAAATGATGAATTTTATGCAAATAAGTTTAGGATTGCCAGATAATTTATGGGGAGATGCTACTTTATCGGCATGTCATATTCAAAATAAAATTTCACCAAAACAATGGAACGAGAAATTTGATAGTGTGCTAGTGTCAAATGAATTTAAAATAATTGATGCTCATAAATGCATATATGGTAAATTTTGTTGTTCTTATTTGCTTGTATGTTGATGATAGGTTAATAATGAGTGCAATTCTAGANTTCTATGTGGTCCCTCTGCTTCCCTCAAACAAACAACATTCAAATTGCTAACGATTTTTTATTATAAATTTGTCATGTAATACCTAAGTATGAGAAAAAAAAATAATTGGAATAATTTTTGACAATTTTTACCCAAATTTTGGTCAAATAACTACCTAAATTACCCAATTTTGAGCATGAGTTATCCAAATTTTGGTCAATAGCTATCTAAATTTTGGTCAATAGCTACCCAAATTATTTTTTACCCATATTTATGTATCACGTGACAAGTTTATGATAAAAAATTATTAACAATTTAGATATTATCTACTTGAGGGACNTGGATATACAAATAACCCCAATAAAAAACATTTGAATGTTATATCTAGATTTTTGAAATACTTGAAGGGACTGTTAATTATTTTCATTCTGAGAGAGGGAGATATACGTGGATCTTCTTTTACGATTACATACTTGGAGCACACGACAAGACATAGAGGGGAGTGAATCGGTTTTCAAACTTTATGCTTAAACAATTACATTTCAAAACCTATTACTACCACATTTACTTCTNTAGAAATTGCTGATCCAATTTTTTATCACTGCACCATACAAAAACAATATCGCCAATTTTTTATTATCATTAATAATATGCCTCCAGAAATTGTAGTATTAAAAGTTCATAAGAAATGAAAATATACCTACCTGTAACGGTGCAAAAGTTTCTTCGTCAACTTTTGGTTTTCATTGTAGGATGGTTATATATAACAATTTGCTGAAATGAACTATATAAGTAAAGCATAAGCTTCACTTAGAACTATGAGAAGTCCAGCTGCCTATTCATTTCTAAGTATGCCTTAATATGATGGATGGTACCTAACCTTAGCTTGTGAGTCCTTAGATATTGTTGAGGAAATTTAAAGACATTCATCTTCATATTCTTCTGCTCCACTTTTTATGCTCTTTTATCACCATTCTCCATCCGTGTTTCGGCACCAAAACAAACATGGGCTGATCAGCCATTAGCCTTTTNTCCACTATTCCAAATTCAGCTTACAAGTACTTGAATCTTATACTTCAATCAATATCATGATTAATTGCCCCTTTTCTTCAATAAGCCTTTCCACTGAAGGGCCTCCTTAGACATCTTGGATAGCTTCGCTTGGATTCACCTCTGTGAGGATCCTCTAGGCCTTGAGTAATCTTAGGCATACCAACAATCCTCCAAATGCACACACCAATGGGTTTGGTCTTCAAGTAATTAAGATCTTCAACACTAAATTGTGAAATTGGGTAGAATCTCTAGATGGTAGCCTTTGATTTTGGGATTTGGGATTTGGGATTGTGGTGTAATCTCTAAGGTGTAAGAGGCAAGAATTCAACTCACAAAAGAGATACCCTAACTTGGGAAAGACACTCCCTATTATAGGCTCAAACAAAAAAAAAAAAAAGCAATCCTAGTCAACAACAAACCTCAAATTTGTGAACGATCGTTCGATCGGTGGGAGGGCAGTCATAGGACAGTGGTCACTACAATGAAAAACTTGTTTCAAACCGGCCTAGGAGAGTAAACCGCTCGAGTGGCCCCAGAGTTTGTGACCTCCTCTATTTGGTTTTTTCTCGTTTTCTTTTCTAAGTCATAATCGCTCCAACGAAAGCTAACAAGTATAGGGAGGTCCATACCGATCATTAAAAGAGAGAGTTTTAGGTGGAGCATAAAGCTAAGAACATGATGGATATTATAATGCTTAATCCCGAATTACTAGCTTGTGAATTGTTACATTGATTATTTCACAATTATTCCAAAGAGTTGAAATGAAAAAGCAGATCAGTAAACAGCAAAATAAATCAAATGTTTTCAATGGAGGTGTGTGCTAGCAAACACTTTTGTTAAGCAACATGTGTACATCGAGGTCATCGATTTTATAAATATCAGTTTTAGGGCATACAATGACTGGTCGATTACAAATATTATTATAAGTATATAATCGAAAATCAATTTCTAACATGTTGTGTTAAATCTTATATTTGATGTTAAATAATTATATATATGATTTTATGATATAATTACATATGTGAATTACAAGTCAAAATAGTTCACATTCAACGCATGTGTGCATCAACTAAATATTTTTGTAATCTACAATGGCAACATGGTTGATGTGCCCAAGTGATTCTTTGGTTTATACAATGACTAAAATCGACCAGATCGTTTGAAGTTTGTAAATTATTCGTATTATATTTTTATATTTTGCTAATGATGGTTAAACTTGTTTGGTGTTCAAGTTATATATGTATGACAGACTTAATTACAATGCCGATAAAAAAAATTTTGTACCATACTTCTAAAATTTATTACTTTAAAGAGAGTTTTTTTAATTTTTGGGGGTCATTTTACAACCAAAAAAATTATCATTTTTGGAGATGATTTGCTAATTTTGTGTCCGTTTTTACCATTATTGTGAATGTTTTTACTATTGTTGTGATAATTACTTTTATCACTTTTATTCGGTAAAAAAAAAAAATTATCACTTTTGTAAGTAATTTACCATTTTTGTAAGTCTTCTATCACAGTGATAAAAAAAATGTACAATAATAATAAAAATACTCATAAATATAATAATTTTTTATATAATGCAAAAAAATTTATTTTTTAGTACATTAGTCAAGTCTGTGCATCAGGCTATGGGACATATAGACGTGCGGACACTATTGTCGACGGTTGATATTTCTTTCTTATCCATCTTATAATTAATAAAGGATCATAAAGGTCGTTTTTCTGCTTGGTCCCTTAATAAAAGGTGCCATAAGGATGACCAGGGTATATACCTATTCTTTATCATTATTTGTAATTAGGGATAATTACATTCAATGTCCCTAAAATATGAGAATGTTTTATTTTGATCTTTAATATTTCAATTGCATCATTTTAATTTATGAAGTATTGAATGTATTTCTATGTGGTCCCTCTGCTTCCCTCAAACAAACAACATTCAAATTGCTAACGATTTTTTATTATAAATTTGTCATGTAATACCTAAGTATGAGAAAAAAAAATAATTGGAATAATTTTTGACAATTTTTACCCAAATTTTGGTCAAATAACTACCTAAATTACCCAATTTTGAGCATGAGTTATCCAAATTTTGGTCAATAGCTATCTAAATTTTGGTCAATAGCTACCCAAATTATTTTTTACCCATATTTATGTATCACGTGACAAGTTTATGATAAAAAATTATTAACAATTTAGATATTATCTACTTGAGGGACCACATAAAAACATATTTAATATTTCTGGGACTAAAATAATTCAATTAAAATATTTGAGACCAAAATGAAACAAACTTTATACTTTAGAAACTTCAATATAATTAACCCTTTGTAATTATTTGTATAGTGTAGCTATCTCAGTTTTGAGTTCACTACCTAGAAATTGCTGATCCAATTTTTTATCACTGCACCATACAAAAACAATATCGCCAATTTTTTATTATCATTAATAATATGCCTCCAGAAATTGTAGTATTAAAAGTTCATAAGAAATGAAAATATACCTACCTGTAACGGTGCAAAAGTTTCTTCGTCAACTTTTGGTTTTCATTGTAGGATGGTTATATATAACAATTTGCTGAAATGAACTATATAAGTAAAGCATAAGCTTCACTTAGAACTATGAGAAGTCCAGCTGCCTATTCATTTCTAAGTATGCCTTAATATGATGGATGGTACCTAACCTTAGCTTGTGAGTCCTTAGATATTGTTGAGGAAATTTAAAGACATTCATCTTCATATTCTTCTGCTCCACTTTTTATGCTCTTTTATCACCATTCTCCATCCGTGTTTCGGCACCAAAACAAACATGGGCTGATCAGCCATTAGCCTTTTTTTTTTAGTTTGTCCTTTAACTTGACATCTAAAATCAACTAAATTTTGTCATAATTATTCTAACAATCATATTTTCAAAATTCATACAGCCGATTATTTCTTAATCCAAGCCAATTCTATCCCTTTCCACAACTTATCCACAATTTAGAGGCTTCCCATAGCTTTTCCAAGCCTAAGCCCGACCATAAGGTGCACTTAGAACTTCCCAGTGCACTCACATTTTCTTGGACAAGCAATTATATACTTGGTACTCATCATTATGTGACATCAATGTAGCAACACTGTTTTACCCTCTACAGGGGTGTAATTTTTTTTGGTTCTAACTATTTACAATTATTAGCTTTTCCTTTCAACGTACTTATATTTTTTTTATTAGTGAACTGCTTTGATCAATTGAATGAAAGCAAAAAATCCTTAGGATTTAGTAAACGATATTAAATGATGTACTACTAAGTGGATAGTGCAACCTATCACTTCGAAACCAAGCCAATTTCCATCACTTATGCATTCAGTCTAATTATGTTCCATGTTTCTCTTCACTTATATTTGTTCTGATAATTGTAAATACACAATAAGAATTATGATTTGCCTGGATGGTATTGCACTGACCTCATCCAATTACTACCAAAATTAGTAAAAGAGCTGACATTTTTCATCCTTCTCTCTTTTTTTGTTGTCATCCCAATTTTTTATCTTTCCTGGTTTACCTCTTGTTCGTAGCATTATCACATCAAACATTTTTATCTGTGCTTGTGTTTGGTTGCACCAGCATATTGTTAATTACGCCTTAGGCTTTTAGGGCTATTTGTTTAGTGTTCAAATGGATTGAATTTAGGGCCAGTGCTTTGAGGTTTTGTTTAGAGAACATGTTTGGGGTTCGACTTTGGTGACAGTGAAGATATGGGTGATTTGGGTCTTTCATTGATGTTGTGATGATGGAATTGATATTTGACTTCAGCTTTGTGGGTAATTTATAGATAATAGGGTTTATTATGACTTCAATTTTAATGCAGTTCCAATAAAGATTTGTATTTGTATTATCTCTCCCGTGATCTTCACATTTGTTTTCCTTCCAGACATGCTTATTTTGTAATTAGCTTGGGAAACATTTTGCTATCTTTTGGTTACCATGAAATACTAATCAGACAAAATAAAAACTAAGAATTAAAAATAGTTCAAGTGCAACGCACGTATGTTTATATATATAAAAACTTAGATGGATAACAAAACTCATATAGGTACAAATATATCATTATATAGGCAAATAGATGTCATACCATGGTTTTAGACATAGACATTTGATAAAGGAGGATAGCCAAGCAAAATGTCAGAAGCCTGGGTAGACATAAAAGGTCATGTTGACAAAAAATCCAAATGGAAGTATGCAGGCAATTGAATTTTACGGAATAACAAGAAACCAGATAGAATATTTCAGAAGTACCCCAAAACATAATAAAAATATTACAAATACTACTTTTTTGGATCACCTCAATAGACACTATTAGATTGGTTAAAAGTTAAAATCATACCACATCAGATGGCGTTGACATGGTGGTGCACATAGTATTTTCTAAAATACAAGTCATATTGAAACAGCTACAAGATACTGATGTGAAATATCTGGCGAGGGTAACATGCGCCTATCACATACCGTTTATTTTCTATATTCATTCCATTCAAGCAGATATGACCCTCTCTAAATCTTGTAGTGGCCGGAGCCTCATGTGCCTTTTTTTAGATATGCAGATTCAAAGACTGTACAAAAGAGTTCCTGAATTGGATACCATGAACCATTATCTGAACCTCGTACCTTCGGATAGATATTCAAGCCCGCTGACAAATCAATTTATAGCTTGCATCCAATTATCCTGCATGGGCAGCCTATCCTCGGAAGAATATTGACTTGAAATTTGAAAATTTGAAATCTTTCACTCAAAATTTCTGGCTCCCATAGTTATGGTGATGACGTCTCGTATCAGACATAACAATGGCAAACTTTCAACGGACGCAATCAATACCACCACATATCCCTAACCAAATCACAAAGAGAATCAGGCAAACAGCAGCGTCAATAGCAAGAACAATTCGTAGTTGGCGGCACCACTTCTTCCGAATGCTTTGAGTAGTCGACCTGATCCTCATTGAACCTATATCCTTTCGTAATGAAATTGAAGAAATTCCTGCACCTTTGTCATCAAGTGTTCCTGAATCAACATTGACTCTTCTGTCTGTAGACTTTCGGTGCTCCTCCAACTCAATATCTCTCATTGCAATCACATGATCCTTCATCTTCTTCTTCTCTTGTTTGCTAGACTTGCCCAACAGAGGGGCTTTTGTCGAAGCACCAGCTTCAATTTGCCCATTAGCACTGTTACACGGTGATGGAGAGAGGCCAACATGATCAGGTGAGGGCGCTTCTGCTGGCTCCTCAGTACCACTCTGCGAGACCTGCTCTAGAGAGGTGATCAAACGGCGGATAACTGGCACTAGTTGTTCTTGTAAACAGAGTGAGTTCAGATTTGACATACTCCTGCTTGAACCCTTCTTAGCCACTTTCTTGAATTCATCTCTCATATGTGATAAAAACTGAAGACATCCCGAATTACTGAGACCTTCATCTACAATACCAAAATAGACATATCCATCTTGCATCAAAAACCCAAAAGTCTTCTTCCCCATAGTCTGAAAATACCACTGGTGAAAAGGAGGTGTCATTTCCAAGCACAATGCAGCCAAGTTCTCAATCTCATGGTCTCCACTGCTAAATGCATACAAAATTCGACTACCATTTGATACACAACAATAATAAACTCTGTTCTGAATTGAACCCATTTATCAATCACAAAGTCACAATATTTGTCGATAACTGATCCTGCTAGACGCCAAGTTTCAATATCCACCAGAAACTTAATTTTGCCAGTAGACCATAAAACTTGATCAATTCTGATGTAGCAAAAACAGAATTCGAACCATCAGAGAATGAGGTTGAATTTCCAAATACGACGGCTATAAACCTTGAGTTCAGAATGGATCTCACCGAGAATTTAAGCAATCAAGACTGGGCAAAAGAGAAATCCAACAAATTCTTCAAGTAGAGATGCAAAAACCAAAAAGAAGGCCAATAATTCGTCGGGGAAGAAATCAAAAACCTCCGAGCAATACCAAACCAACTCTTCAGCTAAATATTCGAAGTCAATAACAAAGCCCCTCATGCCTGTCCACGAACTTATTGAAATCAAACCCACATCAAGAAAAATCCTTCTAAGCAAGGGTTAACGAATAAACGAAATGACGAGACAAGAAACTTACTTTGATAGTATATCAACTTTTCTAAGCAAACCCAGTAAATTTCATTAATCATCCAATGAGATCAAGCTAAGAAATCAAAGAAGTTATCGTCAACAACATGACTTAGCAATCGAGATTTGTAGTTCAGTTGAAGCATTGATTACCTGGTATAGTTCTCCACACCCAGATGAGCAGAAAGTGTTTTGGGGGCAAGAGAGAGAGACATCTCAAGGCAAAGTCAACTACGAAGTGGTAAAAGGGGATCAAATGCTGAATTGCGGATAATTGATTGTTGACTCAGTTCAAGCTTCAAGCGTCAGCCGTCTGCAGTCCCAGAGTCATGGACGGGAGACGCTTAATTGCCAAAACAAGTTTGCAAGATTTACCTATCACTTTTAGCTAAATTTTCTAAATGGCTAAATTATGACATTTGTTTTAGATTGTTCATGAATTTTTAACTATTCTAATTTATCTTTGAAATTTATTTCAATCCATCCCTTCTATCAAGATTAACTGAAATATGAGATAAGTCTCATTAATATTTGATGATGCAAAAAAATAAATTTATGTGTCACTTGTTAAGCAATTAGTATAGGTAATAAGAGCAATAAATATAAGACGAGATCAACACAAAAATATAGATATAGAATGATTCAGTCAAAATAACTTATTTCACTTCGNAAATTCTTTTCCCTTAGATATGCAGATTCAAAGACTGTACAAAAGAGTTCCTGAATTGGATACCATGAACCATTATCTGAACCTCGTACCTTCGGATAGATATTCAAGNTAAGGTGACGTATCTCTATGTGAGATGAAAAAGTCTCTCCCTCATGTGTAGAAGACTTATAATTTATAGGTACAAAGCCTTAGTTGAGACGGTGACACGAGGAATAGATTAGTAGTCCTTCGAGAAGGATAGTTACAACTAAAGATAAAAACAATTAAAGATAGTCTCCATCTCTGAGTATGGTTATCCTGACAATTACTTTTCATGTGCGTTGATGCTCTCAGGTTTCTTAGAATTCTGAATTGGACTGAACCCATGAATTGAGCTTAACCTGTCTTTTGATGATTTAAGCTCAACTCATAAACTAAGCCCAAACTTGATCTAAATTTGGGNAACCATTATCTGAACCTCGTACCTTCGGATAGATATTCAAGCCCGCTGACAAATCAATTTATAGCTTGCATCCAATTATCCTGCATGGGCAGCCTATCCTCGGAAGAATATTGACTTGAAATTTGAAAATTTGAAATCTTTCACTCAAAATTTCTGGCTCCCATAGTTATGGTGATGACGTCTCGTATCAGACATAACAATGGCAAACTTTCAACGGACGCAATCAATACCACCACATATCCCTAACCAAATCACAAAGAGAATCAGGCAAACAGCAGCGTCAATAGCAAGAACAATTCGTAGTTGGCGGCACCACTTCTTCCGAATGCTTTGAGTAGTCGACCTGATCCTCATTGAACCTATATCCTTTCGTAATGAAATTGAAGAAATTCCTGCACCTTTGTCATCAAGTGTTCCTGAATCAACATTGACTCTTCTGTCTGTAGACTTTCGGTGCTCCTCCAACTCAATATCTCTCATTGCAATCACATGATCCTTCATCTTCTTCTTCTCTTGTTTGCTAGACTTGCCCAACAGAGGGGCTTTTGTCGAAGCACTAGCTTCAATTTGCCCATTAGCACTGTTACACGGTGATGGAGAGAGGCCAACATGATCAGGTGAGGGCGCTTCTGCTGGCTCCTCAGTACCACTCTGCGAGACCTGCTCTAGAGAGGTGATCAAACGGCGGATAACTGGCACTAGTTGTTCTTGTAAACAGAGTGAGTTCAGATTTGACATACTCCTGCTTGAACCCTTCTTAGCCACTTTCTTGAATTCATCTCTCATATGTGATAAAAACTGAAGACATCCCGAATTACTGAGACCTTCATCTACAATACCAAAATAGACATATCCATCTTGCATCAAAAACCCAAAAGTCTTCTTCCCCATAGTCTGAAAATACCACTGGTGAAAAGGAGGTGTCATTTCCAAGCACAATGCAGCCAAGTTCTCAATCTCATGGTCTCCACTGCTAAATGCATACAAAATTCGACTACCATTTGATACACAACAATAATAAACTCTGTTCTGAATTGAACCCATTTATCAATCACAAAGTCACAATATTTGTCGATAACTGATCCTGCTAGACGCCAAGTTTCAATATCCACCAGAAACTTAATTTTGCCAGTAGACCATAAAACTTGATCAATTCTGATGTAGCAAAAACAGAATTCGAACCATCAGAGAATGAGGTTGAATTTCCAAATACGACGGCTATAAACCTTGAGTTCAGAATGGATCTCACCGAGAATTTAAGCAATCAAGACTGGGCAAAAGAGAAATCCAACAAATTCTTCAAGTAGAGATGCAAAAAACAAAAAGAAGGCCAATAATTCGTCGGGGAAGAAATCAAAAACCTCCGAGCAATACCAAACCAACTCTTCAGCTAAATATTCGAAGTCAATAACAAAGCCCCTCATGCCTGTCCACGAACTTATTGAAATCAAACCCACATCAAGAAAAATCCTTCTAAGCAAGGGTTAACGAATAAACGAAATGACGAGACAAGAAACTTACTTTGATAGTATATCAACTTTTCTAAGCAAACCCAGTAAATTTCATTAATCATCCAATGAGATCAAGCTAAGAAATCAAAGAAGTTATCGTCAACAACATGACTTAGAAATCGAGATTTGTAGTTCAGTTGAAGCATTGATTACCTGGTAGAGTTCTCCACACCCAGATGAGCAGAAAGTGTTTTGGGGGCAAGAGAGAGAGACATCTCAAGGCAAAGTCAACTACGAAGTGGTAGAAGGGGATCAAATGCTGAATTGCGGATAATTGATTGTTGACTCAGTTCAAGCTTCAAGCGTCAGCCGTCTGCAGTCCTAGAGTCATGGACGGGAGACGCTTAATTGCCAAAACAAGTTTGCAAGATTTACCTATCACTTTTAGCTAAATTTCCTAAATGGCTAAATTATGACATTTGTTTTAGATTGTTCATGAATTTTTAACTATTCTAATTTATCTTTGAAATTTATTTCAATCCATCCCTTCTATCAAGATTAACTGAAATATGAGATAAGTCTCATTAATATTTGATGATGCAAAAAAATAAATTTATGTGAAATAAATTAGTATAGGTAATAAGAGCAATAAATATAAGACGAGATCAACACAAAAATATAGATATAGAATGATTCAGTCAAAATAACTTACTCCACTTCGAAGACGACAAAATTTGCCGAAAGACTTTATTAATAAAGTAGCATATGAGAAAAAGTGAGGGAGCAAAAGTACGTTTAGGATAAGGTGACGTATCTCTATGTGAGATGAAGAAGTCTCTCCCTCATGTGTAGAAGACTTATAATTTATAGGTACAAAGCCTTAGTTGAGACGGTGACACGAGGAATAGATTAGTAGTCCTTCGAGAAGGATAGTTACAACTAAAGATAAAAACAATTAAAGATAGTCTCCATCTCTGAGTATGGTTATCCTGACAATTACTTTTCATGTGCGTTGATGCTCTCAGGTTTCTTAGAATTCTGAATTGGACTGAACCCATGAATTGAGCTTAACCTGTCTTTTGATGATTTAAGCTCAACTCATAAACTAAGCCCAAACTTGATCTAAATTTGGGCTCATCAATATTAATTGTTAAGATTGATTATATTAAGATTAACTATTAATTTATCTCATTTAATAATTAATCTTAATAGAATGGATCAATTGAAATAAATTACATAATTTTGAAAAAAAAAAAATTAGGATAATTTAAAGTTTATGAGATAATTTAAAACAAATAATATAGTTCATGCGGTATTTATGAGATCTATGGTTATTTTTACTAAATTTTGTTTTCAAATTGAGGTGGCACTCTTTCTATTATAAAATGAGAGGCCAAATTTATATTTGATGGTTGTTGAAGATATACACCCCCCGAACCGTACAAGATAATTACCACCTATTATATGGCTTTCTAACTTCACATCTTTTTTCTGGTCGTTCCGCTCTGTCGATCGATGGTAGTGTAAGAGATCTATAANTTGTCAACAACATGACTTAGAAATCGAGATTTGTAGTTCAGTTGAAGCATTGATTACCTGGTAGAGTTCTCCACACCCAGATGAGCAGAAAGTGTTTTGGGGGCAAGAGAGAGAGACATCTCAAGGCAAAGTCAACTACGAAGTGGTAGAAGGGGATCAAATGCTGAATTGCGGATAATTGATTGTTGACTCAGTTCAAGCTTCAAGCGTCAGCCGTCTGCAGTCCTAGAGTCATGGACGGGAGACGCTTAATTGCCAAAACAAGTTTGCAAGATTTACCTATCACTTTTAGCTAAATTTCCTAAATGGCTAAATTATGACATTTGTTTTAGATTGTTCATGAATTTTTAACTATTCTAATTTATCTTTGAAATTTATTTCAATCCATCCCTTCTATCAAGATTAACTGAAATATGAGATAAGTCTCATTAATATTTGATGATGCAAAAAAATAAATTTATGTGAAATAAATTAGTATAGGTAATAAGAGCAATAAATATAAGACGAGATCAACACAAAAATATAGATATAGAATGATTCAGTCAAAATAACTTACTCCACTTCGAAGACGACAAAATTTGCCGAAAGACTTTATTAATAAAGTAGCATATGAGAAAAAGTGAGGGAGCAAAAGTACGTTTAGGATAAGGTGACGTATCTCTATGTGAGATGAAGAAGTCTCTCCCTCATGTGTAGAAGACTTATAATTTATAGATACAAAGCCTTAGTTGAGGCGGTGACATGAAGAATAGATTAGTAGTCCTTCGAGAAGGATAGTTACAGCTAAAGATAAAAACAATTAAAGATAGTCTCCATCTCTGAGTATGGTTATCCTGACAATTACTTTTCATGTGCGTTGATCCTCTCAGGTTTCTTAGAATTCTGAATTGGACTGAACCCATGAATTGAGCTTAACCTGTTTTTTGATGATTTAAGCTCAACTCATAAACTAAGCCCAAACTTGATCTAAATTTGGGCTCATCAATATTAATTGTTAAGATTGATTATATTAAGATTAACTATTAATTTATCTCATTTAATAATTAATCTTAATAGAATGGATCAATTGAAATAAATTACATAATTTTGAAAAAAAAAAATTAGGATAATTTAAAGTTTATGAGATAATTTAAAACAAATAATATAGTTCATGGGGTATTTATGAGATCTATGGTTATTTTTACTAAATTTTGTTTTCAAATTGAGGTGGCACTCTTTCTATTATAAAATGAGAGGCCAAATTTATATTTGATGGTTGTTGAAGATATACACCCCCCGAACCGTACAAGATAATTACCACCTATTATATGGCTTTCTAACTTCACATCTTTTTTCTGGTCGTTCCGCTCTGTCGATCGATGGTAGTGTAAGAGATCTATAACCTATGAAGAGAAATTTAGTAAAAATATTTAATCACCACAATATTTTGGTTTTCAAAAGCTTAAAAAGAATAAAAAGTTACTTGTAATTTATTTAAACTTGAAAGAAAGAGAGAATGTTTAGAAAGAATAGCTCAACCTTTAAGGTTGGGATTGCATTGTATTTATAGTCAATACACACACGTTTTAATAGCTATACAAATCTGTTTAACAGCTATACAAATATTAACTAGAATCATATTACTTGCCTAGTCTATAGCCTAAACTCTAGCTAAGATGAGAGAGTCAATTGCCTAAATTATAGCTGTAAATATCTTGAATCCTATCATGCCCCCTCAAGGTGATGGGGAGGATGCCACAACAACTTGTCACGAAAGAAACGGAATGATGGAGATGGTAACCATTTGGTAAAAAGATCAGCAAGCTGATTGTTGGAGCGCACAAATAAGACCTAAAGGAAGCCTTAGGAGACCAATTCACGTATAAAATGATAAGACAATTCAACGTGTTTAGTACGAGCATGGAAGACAAGAGTTTGTGCCAATTGAGTCGCACCCATGTTATCAGAGTATAGTGTACAAGGCAGAGGAGTGCAATCGCCAATGTTCCAAAGGATATAAGAAATCCGTAGAGGCATGAGTTAGGGCTTTATACTCGGCCTCTATGCTAGAAAGTGCAACTGTTAACTGTTTCTTGGCACTCCAAGAAATTAGATTAGAGCCAAGAAAAACACAGTGGCCCATTGTGGAGCGACGAGTGTTAGGGTAGCCGGCCCAATTGGCATCAACAAAGCAAGCCAAGTCCAGACGCGTATTGTGACTTGATCCGAAATGTGTACACCCAAGTCTAGGCGGTCAAGCTATAGTAATAATCCGGTTAAGTCCAGAGTCGAATCCACAGGGAATTATGATTGGTGTTTTGAAGTGAGCAGCAATAGAGACCAAATAACTAGAAACCTTGAGNACATTATAGCTGTAAATATCTTGAATCCTATCATGCCCCCTCAAGGTGATGGGGAGGATGCCACAACAACTTGTCACGAAAGAAAGGGAATGATGGAGATGGTAACCCTTTGGTAAAAAGATCAGCAAGCTGATTGTTGGAGCGCACAAATAAGACCTAAAGGAAGCCTTAGGAGACCAATTCACGTATAAAATGATAAGACAATTCAACGTGTTTAGTACGAGCATGGAAGACGAGAGGTTGTGCCAATTGAGTCGCACCCATGTTATCAGAGTATAGTGTACAAGGCAGAGGAGTGCAATCGCCAATGTTCCAAAGGATATAAGAAATCCGTAGAGGCATGAGTTAGGGCTTTATACTCGGCCTCTATGCTAGAAAGTGCAACTGTTAACTGTTTCTTGGCACTCCAAGAAATTAGATTAGAGCCAAGAAAAACACAGTGGCCCATTGTGGAGCGACGAGTGTTAGGGTAGCCGGCCCAATTGGCATCAACAAAGCAAGCCAAGTCCAGACGCGTATTGTGACTTGATCCGAAATGTGTACACCCAAGTCTAGGCGGTCAAGCTATAGTAATAATCCGGTTAAGTCCAGAGTCGAATCCACAGGGAATTATGATTGGTGTTTTGAAGTGAGCAGCAATAGAGACCAAATAACTAGAAACCTTGAGAGTTTGAAGTTATGAGATTTTTTTGAATAAAATAGAAGATTATTT